GTATGCGCACATGACTGTAAGTCGCTTTGGATAAAAGCGTCTGCTAAATGGCTTATTATTATTGTTATTATTATTATGTCTTACAAAAGTTCTGAACCTTCCTATTCTCATTGTTTCTACATATAGTAAATTGAAAAAAAACATTTTTGCTAAAATAATTATTATATTATTGATCGATTGACTATGACTTTTCAGATCACCCAGTAATGCTATCTGCAGGGTTAGCTCCAGGTAAATATTGCAATCCTTTGGCCATTCCTGGACCTGTGTCCAAAAACAAGCTACAAATAGACAGTACCAAAACTAATGATCTAATGATTCTGTCTCTTCGCAGACAGTGGGGTTACTGGCAGGGCAGATATGAGAGGACAGGAAGGGTGACTGGGACATGGTTTAGGAAAACAACCCTCTGTATGATTAAAGAATGGTCCCTCCTCATCCCTACGTCCCCCAGAGCACCACAGTTCAGCCTCAAACACTGTCTGTCCCCAATGGCACCCTATTCCCTATGGGAAACCCTACGGGCCATGGTCCAAACTACTACACTACGTAGGGAATAGGCCAGAGAGCCAATAGAGAGGCCAGAACAGGGAACACAGTGAAGTCAGGTGGTCATCTGTCTTACAGTGGCATTCATCATGTCAACACTGATCACACTGACTCTGGTCCCACACTGCTATTCATCATGTCAACACTGACTCTGGTCCCACACTGCTATTCATCATGTCAACACTGACTCTGGTCCCACACTGCTATTCATCATGTCAACACTGACTCTGGTCCCACACTGCTATTCATCATGTCAACACTGACTCTGGTCCCACACTGCTATTCATCATGTCAACACTGACTCTGGTCCCACACTGCTATTCATCATGTCAACACTGACTCTGGTCCCACACTGCCAGTCTATCACACAGCTGTGAACAACACTTTCATTGAACCTCTTCTTTACTAATCGTATTCTGCTGTTGATCGTATATCACCCTCTACTTTAAACTTCAGCGACAATCAACACTCCTTCTAAACAAGTGGTGGATGTGTTTTAGTAACTAACAGTATTTACTAAATCATTGATTGTTCATCTGAATGAACTGATTTAGTGAACATTAACTCATGGCATGATATTGCCATAATCTTAAAAAGTAAATGTAGTTACCTGCAGCATGCACAATATTAATAATATTACTCTGTCTATGAAATCCAGTGAATGTTATTCAAACTATGTCCAAATGTGTTTCAGGTCTAGTTGGTGTGCTATGTGAAATTTGGAATTCCAAAATCAGATTAACTTTAGTTGCCTTGAATACCGAAGTCCTCTCTTTTCTGATTCTATGTTCCACAGCGACCCCTGGTGGAAGCAATTAGAAATGAAATCCGGGGAATGAAATCCGTCGTGACTGCAGTGAAGAGAACTGGCCAGAGGAGGGCACTTACTTCCCAGTAATAACAACAAGGATGACAGGTGAACAAAGGAATATTGACACACAATAAAAATAAAAATAATAATATATACATATTAACAACTGTGGCAATGTCCATTGGGTAGGAAGACCATGGGAGCATTTGGGACAGCCAATAAGACATGATCCTCCGTTTCCCGTTCTCTCTCATTATTGGTTTGTTCCTCCTGGAGGAATAAGGGACACTTTTGGTCGGCTGTTATCTTGTAACAATCATTTCAAGTGTGCCAGAATGATCACTATTATAATTATAATGTATTCTACTGTGCCAGTCAGCACCTGAACAATATTAGACCTAACAACACGTTGAGTCAGACATCGGCAGCAGAAAGCTTTTAAAAACACAGGTTCAAAATTAGACCACTGCTCAAGGCACAACTAGTACATCCAACAATATTAGGACCATCATCTTGTACTCAAACTCCTCCAAACATCATCCTCAGAACATTGAGTTCAAGGAGTTCACACGTTAAATGTGTTCAGTGTGAGTTTCTGATGAACCTCAAGGCAAGCCTATAACAGCAGCCTTCACGCTGTTGTTACCATGAAAACCCTCTAAACCCAGAACATGAGGATCCCCATCCTGTATACCAGTGGTACTCCAGTACTATTTGAGAAGGTCCGGTCACACAAATTTCCCAGGTGGCAAAGGTCCGGATGGATATAGTCGTTTATCTCGCGGTAACAAACCCCCCACCTCACAACCTATGACCCCAAACTGTTCAAACTATTCACACTCCTCTTGTTGGCAGAGACAACGTTTTCTTTTCTTTTTTAAACGAATTTCCTGTAATTCTCCACATTCTACCATGTCTTATGTGTGTTTATATGATACCAGGGGTCGAAGCCCGATCAAGTTGACCCCGTTCTCCTGATTGATCAGACTGTCAGACTGTCTCTGGACCAGTCTCTCCTGATAGATCAGACTGTCTCTGGACCAGTCTCTCTATAGATCAGACTGTCTCTGGACCTGTCTCTCCTATAGATCAGACTGTCTCTGGACCAGTCTCTCTATAGATCAGACTGTCTCTGGACCAGTCTCTCCTGATAGATCAGACTGTCTCTGGACCAGTCTCTCCTATAGATCAGACTGTCTCTGGACCAGTCTCTCCTATAGATCAGACTGTCTCTGGACCAGTCTCTCCTGATAGATCAGACTGTCTCTGGACCAGTCTCTCCTATAGATCAGACTGCTCGGACCAGTCTCTCTATAGATCAGACTGTCTCTGGACCCGTCTCTCCTGATAGATCAGACGTCTCTGGACCAGTCTCTCCTATAGATCAGACTGTCTCTGGACCAGTCTCTCCTGATAGATCAGACTGTCTCTGGACCAGTCTCTCTATAGATCAGACTGTCTCTGGACCAGTCTCTCCTGATAGATCAGACTGTCTCTGGACCAGTCTCTCCTATAGATCAGACTGTCTCTGGACCAGTCTCTCCTGATAGATCAGACTGTCTCTGGACCAGTCTCTCTATAGATCAGACTGTCCCCTGGACCAGTCTCTCCTGATAGATCAGACTGTCTCTGGACCAGTCTCTCCTATAGATCAGACTGTCTCTGGACCAGTCTCTCCTGATAGATCAGACTGTCTCTGGACCAGTCTCTCTATAGATCAGACTGTCTCTGGACCAGTCTCTCCTGATAGATCAGACTGTCTCTGGACCAGTCTCTCTATAGATCAGACTGTCTCTGGACCAGTCTCTCCTGATAGATCAGACTGTCTCTCCTATAGATCAGACTGTCTCTGGACCAGTCTCTCTATAGATCAGACTGTCTCTGGACCAGTCTCTCCTGATAGATCAGACTGTCTCTGGACCAGTCTCTCTATAGATCAGACTGTCTCTGGACCAGTATATCCTGATAGATCAGACTGTCTCTGGACCAGTCTCTCCTGATTGATCAGACTGTCTCTGGACCAGTCTCTCTATAGATCAGACTGTCTCTGGACCAGTCTCTCCTGATTGATCAGACTGTCTCTGGACCAGTCTCTCCTGATTGATCAGACTGTCTCTGGACCAGTCTCTCCTGATTGATCAGACTGTCTCTGGACCAGTCTCTCCTGATAGATCAGACTGTCTCTGGACCAGTCTCTCCTGATAGATCAGACTGTCTCTGGACCAGTCTCTCTATAGATCAGACTGTCTCTGGACCAGTCTCTCTATAGATCAGACTGTCTCTGGACCAGTCTCTGCCTGAATAGATCAACGTTCTGGACCAGTCGCCTCTATAGGATCAGACTGTCTCTGGACCAGTCTCTCCCTGAGGATGCGTACTGTCTCTTGACCTTCCTCTCTATAGATCCGACTGCTCTGGGACCAGTCTCCCTGATAGATCAGACTGTCTTCCTATAGATCAGGCGGAGTGTTTCCCTTCCTTATGTGATTGTGGTCTGACCCTTAGAATGTCTGTCTCATTTACGGTCATGACCGCATTGTTGGGAAACATTAGTAAGTATGTATTTCACTGTATCCGAGGAATCCCTGTCAGCTGTTGTTGATTGGTAAGTAATGTATTATATTATATTGTTGCCATGTTTTATTGAAAATCACATGACACGATCAAAAGTTTAATTACTCTGCAAACTTTATTCAGACATTTTTGCATAATTTATTTACAGCACCCCTTTCATACACTCCCACACGAACCAGACCCACATCACTGGTTTAGTAAATAAAGCTTTGGTATTAATAGGTTTCATCATGTGGTTAAAGCTTCCCAGAGCGCAGCAGGGAACATTCTAAAACTGAGATGACATCAAAGCATTACAAAAGGTCATAGGTTTGGAAGAATGTGCAAAAGGTTGGTTATAAAAAAAAACTTTGTTCCAAAGCTAACAGGAAATGCAGTCATTCAAACTGGACAGGCAAGTTACGGTCAACACAAACAAACATCCCTCAACATTGGGTGCATCCCAAATGGCACCCTATATAGTGCACTACTTTAGACCAGAGCCCATAGGGTAGTGCACTGTATAAGGGAATAGGGTGCCATTTGGGACAGCCTATAAGACACGATCCTCCGTTTCCCGTTCTCTCTCATTATTGGTTTGTTCCTCCTGGAGGAATAAGGGACACTTTTGGTCGGCTGTTATCTTGTAACAATCTTTTCAAGTGTGCCAGAATTATCACTATTATAATTATAATGTATTCTACTATTTAAATTTTCTAAACTCAAAATACAACGTCTGCAAGGCAGCATATGACAAAATAAAGCTAAATTAAATATATAACCCGCCCCCAAAAAATTAAGAATTGCAACAGTAGAAATACTAAAAGTCCACATCAGCGCCTAAAAACAACTATTATTGTATTCCAGAAACTAAGACCCATGCAACAAAAACACTTCTAACTAAAGACAGAGAAAACCTTAAGATTATTTCTATACAGCTGGCGCTGTATGACACTTTAAATACACACACAGTAAGAATAATGAAATAAATATGAGTTGATATATGGTTCATTAAAAAGACGGATGCTCCCATCAGGAAGAGAAGAATAGACCCAGGACAGTTTAAAAACATCTGGAGAACAGTTCCTCAGCACCGTTCTCCAGAGAATGACGGAGAACAGTTCCTCAGCACCGTTCTCCAGAGAATGACGGAGAACAGTTCCTCAGCACCGTTCTCCAGAGAATGACGGAGAACAGTTCCTCAGCACCGTTCTCCAGAGAATGACGGAGAACAGTTCCTCAGCACCGTTCTCCAGAGAATGACGGAGAACAGTTCCTCAGCACCGTTCTCCAGAGAATGACTGCGTACTGTCAGCAGCCAGGCACTGACGGATGTTGGAGTTGTCAATAGATCTTCCTGAAGTGTTGACTGATTTTGTGATCCGTCCCACAAGCCGATTCCCTTTAGAATACACTACCTTTGGGCCAGGGCCCAGACTGCTCTGGTCAACACTAGTGCACTATATAAGGAAAAGGGTGGTGTTTGGGCCACATCCATGCTTCTCCTGGAGTGTTCATTACATTGCAGTGTAGGTCGAAGCACTCAGACCCTGCCTTCGTTTCCCTTTGATCTTCAGAGATCCATAACGGGCCTGTTGGAAAGAACACATTGATTATTATTAGAAAACAAAACCACCCTCATTAGACTGGTCCAACTCTGACCTCGTTAATATACTACAACATGCATCACAGACCCTTTCAAAAAGACTGAAGACGCTTTCATATACTGCAGACCAGTGGTCACCAACCTTTTCTCTGTCTAGATCCCTTTCATATACTGCAGAGCAGTGGTCACCAACCTTTTCTCTGTCTAGATCCCTTTCATATACTGCAGACCAGTGGTCAACAACCTTTTCTCTGTCTAGATCCCTTTCATATACTGCAGACCAGTGGTCAACAACCTTTTCTCTGTCTAGATCCCTTTCATATACTGCAGAGCAGTGGTCACCAACCTTTTCTCTGTCTAGATCCCTTTCATATACTGCAGACCAGTGGTCACCAACCTTTTCTCTGTCTAGATCCCTTTCATATACTGCAGACCAGTGGTCACCAACCTTTTCTCTGTCTAGATCACTTTCACAGTCACAAAGCAAGCAGAGCTCTACCACTCAGGTTTTTAAAAAACATTACTTAAAATGTAACATGAACCTAATAAAAACAGTACTGTAGGAATGAGGTTCATGCAGTAGGCCTAATACATTATCACAGCATATTGGCTATATGCCTGGCCTGCCAGTATTGTTATTCTCAGACCATATTATATTTCACAACTTGAGCTTTGATAACAAAACAGATCAGTTGGTGTATTACTTGCGAGGCACAGTTGAGAATAAATTGAAATAATTATCTTGTTTATTTTACTGGACTGATGGTACCTGCATCTGATGGTCATGGTGCTTTCAAGACAACTGGGAACTGTCAAGAAAACGAGGTCAGATCATCGGAGCTCTAGAAAGATGCCTGAGTTGGATGACTGTTCAAAACGATTTTTCCCCAGTCGGATCTAGTTTTTCTCTGGGTTCCCAGTTGTCTTGAAGGCAGGGCTATAGATACCCTTGGCTCCAGTCATTGCAGCTGCAGTCGAATGGAAGTAGGGAGAAGCCTGTTTGATGTTTTTTAACAGTGCTGAATAAAAACAAACATGAACTCAGTCATAAAAACAGCAGCTCTTTGCTGTATTCTTTGACAGTCTCACTCTGGTTTTGAAATCTCATGTAGGCTAGTATCAAACTTTGCTGGAAGCTGTAGGCACGGTGACGTGAGCTATCCGATTGGCCAGCGCAGTAGCCACACTCGATTTAGCTACAGATCTCCTGGTCTGCTGGGTAGGCGGACTTAAGACTTCTCAGAGAAATGAAAAAGGTTCAAAGTGGGAACACTTTGCCTACCTGGTGCACAGGGCTTCTGAATCAAGTTCACCTACCGCCAACAGGGCTTCTGAATCAAGGTCACCTACCGCCAACAGGGCTTCTGAATCAAGGTCACCTACCGCCAACAGGGCTTCTGAATCAAGGTCACCTACCGCCAACAGGGCTTCTGAATCAAGGTCACCTACCGCCAACAGGGCTTCTGAATCAAGGTCACCTACCGCCAACAGGGCTTCTGAACCAAGGTCACCTACCGCCAACAGGGCTTCTGAACCAAGGTCACCTACCGCCAACAGGGCTTCTGAACCAAGGTCACCTACCGCCAACAGGGCTTCTGAACCAAGGTCACCTACCGCCAACAGGGCTTCTGAACCAAGGTCACCTACCGCCAACAGGGCTTCTGAACCAAGGTCACCTACCGCCAACAGGGCTTCTGAACCAAGGTCACCTACCGCCAACAGGGCTTCTGAATCAAGGTCACCTACCGCCAACAGGGCTTCTGAATCAAGGTCACCTACCGCCAACAGGGCTTCTGAATCAAGGTCACCTACCGCCAACAGGGCTTCTGAATCAAGGTCACCTACCGCCAACAGGGCTTCTGAACCAAGGTCACCTACCGCCAACAGGGCTTCTGAACCAAGGTCACCTACCGCCAACAGGGCTTCTGAACCAAGGTCACCTACCGCCAACAGGGCTTCTGAACCAAGGTCACCTACTGCCAACAGCACAACACCAATAATAAGAAAAGGAGCATACGTCTTCATCGTTGGCTTTCTACAGAAATGTTTGGTGATGGACCGGTTGGTGACCACTGCATTAGAGACCTAGTATTTATCCATATCAGAACCAGAGGAGAGTAGCCGCAGACGCACATCTTTACAGGCTTCAGAGTGTGTTATATTCAGACTTACATCTTTATGGGCTTTAGAGTGTGTTATATTCAGACATACATCTTTATGGGCTTTAGAGTGTGTTATATTCAGACTTACATCTTTACAGGCTTCAGAGTGTGTTATATTCAGACTTACATCTATACAGGCTTCAGAGTGTGTTATATTCAGACTTACATCTTTACAGGCTTCAGAGTGTGTTATATTCAGACTTACATCTTTACAGGCTTCAAAGTGTGTTATATTCAGACTTACATCTTTACAGGCTTCAGAGTGTGTTATATTCAGACTTACATCTATACGGGCTTCAGAGTGTGTTATATTCAGACTTACATCTTTACAGGCTTTAGAGTGTGTTATATTCAGACTTACATCTTTACGGGCTTTAGAGCGCATAATCTTGACACTCTGGGACCTCCTCAGACCTCTCTGGGTGACAGCCTCGTCCTCTGAGAAAAGTTGTTCCCCCTCCTCATCTGTCCTGTCCTCCTGCTCGTAGGCATAGTACTCTGGGGAGACATGTCCACATTAGTTAGGCATAGTACTCTGGGGAGACATGTCCACATTAGTTAGGCATAGTACTCTGGGGAGACATGTCCACATTAGTTAGGCATAGTACTCTGGGGAGACATGTCCACATTAGTTAGGCATAGTACTCTGGGGAGACATGTCCACATTAGTTAGGCATAGTACTCTGGGGAGACATGTCCACATTAGTTAGGCATAGTACTCTGGGGAGACATGTCCACATTAGTTAGGCATAGTACTCTGGGGAGACATGTCCACATTAGTTAGGCATAGTACTCTGGGGAGACATGTCCATATTAGTTAGGCATAGTACAACTGAACCAGAAGCATGTTAACTTGGTCTTCTGAGCTGACTCCTAGGTCCTTATGGTAGAAGTGCTGTGTCAAAAGGGGACTGACTGACTGCTGTGTTGGAGAGAGACAGGCCACCTGGGGACAAAGCCCCTCACTGGGGCTGAATTCCACAGCTAAGGCCACACAACAACCAATGGTGTCATCCACTGACAGATTCCTATAACATACACTACATGACCAACGGTGTCATCCACTGACAGATTCCTATAACATACACTACATGACCAACGGTGTCATCCACTGACAGATTCCTATAACATACACTACATGACCAACGGTGTCATCCACTGACAGATTCCTATAACATACACTACATGACCAACGGTGTCATCCACTGACAGATTCCTATAACATACACTACATGACCAACGGTGTCATCCACTGACAGATTCCTATAACATACACTACATGACCAACGGTGTCATCCACTGACAGATTCCTATAACATACACTACATGCCCAAAGTATGTAGACGCTGCAGGCCATTCAGGTTCTTCCACACTAACCTCCACAAACCATTTCTGTATGGACCTCGCTTTGTGCACGGGGGCATTGTCATGCTGAAACAGGAAAGGGAAAGTTGAAAGCACAGAATCGTCTAGAATGTAATTGTATGCTGTTGCATTAAGATTTCCCTTCACTGGAACTAAGGGGCCCGAACCATGAAAAACAGCCCCAGACCATTATTCCTCCTCCACCAAACTTTACAGTTGGCACTACGCATTGGGGCAGGAAGCGTTCTCCTGGCATCTGTCAAACCCAGATTCGTCCATCGGACTGCCAGATGGTGTGATTCATCACTCCAGAGAACGCGTTTCCACTGCTCCACAGTCCAATGGCTGTGAGCTTTACACCACTCCAGCTGACGCTTGGCATTGCGCATGGTGATGTTAGGCTTGTATGCGGCTGCTTGGCCATGGAAACCCACTTCATGAAGCGCAGATGAATTCTATAACAGTGCCATGTTGAAAGTCACTGAGCTCTTCAGTAAGGCCATTCAACTGCCAGTGTTTGTCTATGGAGATTGCATGGCGGTGTGCTCGATTTTATACACCTGTCAGCAACGGGTGTGGCTGAAATAGCCGAATCCACTAATTTGAAGGGGTGTCCACATACTTTTGTATCTATAGTGTATGTTGTGGTTAGCTGATACTTCCCAGGCATTGTCAGATCTTGCAGGCGTCAGCAACATCTACGCTCTGGAACGACGACTGGGTCTCTCTTGTCACAGAGGACATGTGACCAGTCATGTGACCAGCCATGGGACCAGCAGCTCTCAGCTCTGCTGAGCTGGCTCTCTGAGTGGGGGGGTCTGTGCTGCGGTGTGTGGGGTCAGAGCCACAGTGGGCTGGGGGAGGGAAGGGGGGGGGGGAGGGAGTGTGGAACAGCTGCTGCCCCATGCCCTGCTGGTCTCAGGCTGATGGACACCAAGAGAGAACCCCCACCACCATAACCACTGCTAACTAACTGGGGCTATTCTGTTCTGTAATATCATCACTGTGCTATGACCACTACTAACTGACTGGGGCAATTCTGTTCTGTGCTGTGAGTCACGACAGCTGACATTCTACCAGCCTCCACCAGGGGGCAGCAGTAACATTCTACCAGCCTCCACCAGGGGGCAGCAGTAACATTCTACAGCCTCCACCAGGGGCAGCAGTAACACACTGCATTCTACCAGCCTCCACCAGGGGGCAGCAGTAACACAGCTGCCATTCTACCAGCCTCCACCAGGGGGCAGCAGTAACATTCTACCAGCCTCCACCAGGGGGCAGCAGTAACATTCTACCAGCCTCCACCAGGGGGCAGCAGTAACATTCTACCAGCCTCCACCAGGGGGCGGCAGTAACACAGTAACAGACTCTATACCTCCTCTCCTTTGTTCCTGTAGCTGCAGCTCGTCACATCTGCTCTCCATTCTAGAAATATGACTGTTTCCTCAGGATCTGGAGCCACTATTAAATCTACAAGGCTATTTATACTTGTTTTAGGGTTTAAACTTTCTGCAACCTATGAGATATGTTTTTTATGCTAGCCTTCACACAGTCCAAGGCAAACTGGTATGTGTCATATGAAGCTATTGAGACCTATTGGTTGACAGTTGTTTTAGAAATACATCTAATTCTCCACATAAAGGATCATTTTCGTAGTATGAGAAGTGAGGAGCACATTCCATTCATTCCACCAATTATCTGTATCCCTTATTAGAATCTTTAATATCCTGCATCTGTCTTCTACAATACCTCTGACTGGTCACAGCTGAGCTAGCTGGCAGCACGCGACGCCAGCCCAGCCCAGCCCAGCCCAGCCCAGCCCAGCCAGCCCAGCCCAGCCCAGCCCAGCCCAGCGTGATGACAAGTAATGGGACTTTCCCTCCCTGAGAACAGAACCAACCAACCCCTCCCTGTACTGAGCCCGTCAGCCTGAGGAGAACAGAACCAACCAACCCCTCCCTGTACTGAGCCTGTCAGCCTGAGGAGAACAGAACCAACCAACCCCTCCCTCACTGAGCCTGTCAGCCTGAGGAGAACAGAACCAACCAACCCCTCCCTCCTGAGCCCGTCAGCCTGAGGAGAACAGAACCAACCAACCCCACCCTGCACTGAGCCCGTCAGCCTGAGGAGAACAATAGAACAGACCCAACCATGTATGTATCCTAAATAGCACCCTATTCCCTTTCCAGTGCACTAGTTTTGACCAGGGCCCAGAGGGAAGCCCATAGGACTCTGGCCAAAAGTAGTACACTATTTAGGGGATAGGATGCAATTTGGGATGCACACATTGGCTTCCTCCACTGACCACATCCTCTTTAAAAACAGCACAGGAAAACATATCCTGGATGAAGACCTAAAGGGTAAAGAACTAAAGGGTTTGAGGTGGTTTCTTCTTCAACTAAAAACTACAATTAACATGTCACTTAATCAGTTGACATTGACATCATTCCCTGGGGTTCTTTCTGCTCCCTCTTATAAAGCGCTTGGCATCTGAAAGCAGCTCTCTTTATGACGGCTTCATTCCAGACGAGATGAAATGACCTGGATGCTAGTGGAATGACCAACAGGGAGCGGAGGGAGGACAGGCATTAGCAGAGAGACGAGAGAGAGAGAGCAGAGAGCATCAGGTATTCTTCTCAGAGCCTGTCGATCACAGAGAGCATCAGGTATTCTTCTCAGAGCCTGTCGATCACAGAGAGCATCAGGTATTCTTCTCAGAGCCTGTCCATCACAGAGAGCATCAGGTATTCTTCTCAGAGCCTGTCCATCACAGAGAGCATCAGGTATTCTTCTCAGAGCCTGTCCATCACAGAGAGCATCAGGTATTCTTCTCAGAGCCTGTCCATCACAGAGAGCATCAGGTATTCTCCTCAGAGCCTGTCCATCACAGAGAGCATCAGGTATTCTTCTCAGAGCCTGTCCATCACAGAGAGATGTGGGTTTCATCTTCCGACGGCACGAAGCTGCGCCACTCCTTTAATGTAACAGAGCGAAGGGCGGAGAATAGAGACAAGGGGTGCAACCCAAATGGCAGCCTATTCCCTATATAGTGCACTGGTCACACTACATAGGAGTGCACTGGTCACACTACATAGGGAACAGGGTGCAGAATGTAACCAAGAACACATCTGTGCTTTCAGCTGGTCAGCAGGTCCAGTGTGTAATGTGATGGCCTTCAGATGGTCAGCAGGTCCAGTGTGACGGCCTTCAGATGGTCAGCAGGTCCAGTGTGTAATGTGACGGCCTTCAGATGGTCAGCAGGTCCAGTGTGTAATGTGATGGCCTCCAGATGGTCAGCTGGTCCAGTGTGTAATGTGATGGCCTTCAGATGGTCAGCAGGTCCAGTGTGTAATGTGATGGCCTCCAGATGGTCAGCAGGTCCAGTGTGACGGCCTTCAGATGGTCAGCAGGTCCAGTGTGTAATGTGATGGCCTCCAGATGGTCAGCAGGTCCAGTGTGTAATGTGATGGCCTTCAGCTGGTCCAGTGTGTAATGTGATGGCCTTCAGATGGTCAGCAGGTCCAGTGTGTAATGTGATGGCCTTCAGCTGGTCCAGTGTGTATTGTGACGGCCTTCAGATGGTCAGCAGGTCCAGTGTGTAATGTGACGGCCTTCAGATGGTCAGCAGGTCCAGTGTGTAATGTGATGGCCTTCAGATGGTCAGCAGGTCCAGTGTGTAATGTGATGGCCTTCAGATGGTCAGCAGGTCCAGTGTGTATTGTGACGGCCTTCAGCTGGTCATTATCCTGACTAAAATGATAATGTTGCATTCTTTCCAGTAGAAGTTAAACTATACTAGACAAATATATAAGACACATGTAAAGTGTTGGTCCCATGTTTCATGAGCTGAAATAAAACTTCTGCACAAACTGTCAGAAACCATCTCAGGGAAGCTCATTCTGCGTGCTCGTCGTCCTCACCAGGCTCTTGACCCGACTGCAGTTCAGTGTCGTAACCGACTGGGGTAATGGTATGGGCAGGCATAAGCTACGGACACCAACACAATAGCATTTTAATCGATGGCAATTTGAATGCACAGAGATACCATGACGAGATCCTGAGGCCCATTGTCGTGCCATTCATCCGCCGCCATCACCTCATGTTTCAGCATGATAATGCACGGCCCCATGTCGCAAGGACCTTTACACAATTCTTGGAAGCTGGAAAATGTCCCAGTTCTTCCATGGCCTGCATACTCAGACAGGTCACCCATTAAGCATGTTTGGGATACTCTGGGGAAAATACAATACATCACAAGAGTACCACTCTTCATATTTTCAAGCATTGTGGTGGCTGCGTCATGTTATGGGTATGCTTGTCATCGGCAAGGACTAGGGAGTTTTTCAAAAAAAGGAATGGAGCTAAGCACAGGCAAAATTCTAGAGGAAAACCTGGTTCAGTCTGCTTTCCACCAGACACTGGAAGATGAATTCACCTTTCAGCAGGACAATAACCTAAAACACAAGGCCAAATCTACACTGGAGTTGCTCACCAAGAAGACAGTGAATGTTCCTGAGTGGACGAGTTACAGTTTTGACTGAAATCTACTTGAAAATCTATGGCAAGACCTGAAAATGGTTGTGTAGCAATGATCAACAACCAATTTGACAGAGTTTGAAGAATTTAGAAAATAATAAAATGGGCAGATATTGTACAATCCAGGTGTGAAAGCTCTTAAGAGACTTACCCAGAAACACTCACAGCTGTAATCGCTGCCAAAGGTGATTCTAACATGTATTGACTCAGGGGTGTGAATACTTATGTAAATGTTATATTTCAGTATTTCATTTGTAATACATTTGCTAAAAAATGTCTACAAACATTGACTTTGTCACTATGGGTATTGTGTGTAGATGGGAGAGGAACAAGTGAAGGGGTATGAATACTTTCTGAAGGCACTGGACCAGCATCCCAAATGGCACCCTATACCCTATAGAGTGCACTGCTTTTGACCAGGGCTCACAGGGAATAGGGTGAGCCAACCCATGTTGCTCAACACAGCTACAGCTATAGAGGATGTTTGAGGAAGGTGGAGACAGGAGTCTTACCGTGTCGTAACTGGATCCCCTTTGGATCAATGATTACCAGACAAGTGGAAGGTACTAGGGGAAAGGTTAATGTAAGGTGTGTGTGGACCACGTCATACCTGTTCTGTCGGTAGCGTCTGCGGTGAGAGCCCTCCTGCTCACGGCAGGGTTGCCGGCATGGGCTGTATAGATCTGATTGGCTGCTGCGTCGTCGAGGGGTATCTGGGTCAGGTCATGCATACTGAAGCTCCTCAGTTTCTCTGTGATGGCCCCCTGGCCCTACACACACACACACACACACACACACACACACACACACACACAGTTAGTGTCATCACTCGGATAACACTGTCATCTAAAACGCCTCCCAACTCTCCACGTGACATCATGACTCCAGTCTCTTACTGTGCTCTGACCCATACAGTAACATGCTGATGGAGTATATCTGTTTCTGGAAAACTACTACATAGGATCCATTTTCAGGAATCTATTTGCAGTGTTTTCAAACAGCTTATGATAATGCAGAACCTTTTCCATAACAAAACTGAGGAACAGACAGGATGTGTACTATCATGAAGGGAACATTAGTGGTTAAATGATGTGTGTACAGCACAGCTTGACAACAGAAAGACACCAAACGCCATAAAACTAAGAAAGTGAATCTGTGAATGATCTGAGGACTTTCTCCTCCATGCTGCAGTATAATAACTGTCATTATTACCTCAGAGGGCTGGCGTTAGTAGTGCTGGGTTCCTAGAGACAGACAGCATGTCACACAGTATTGGTGGAAAGACAGATCAACACCACCGGTAGGACACAGTCAGGAGGACAGAGAGAGATCAACACCAACGTTAGGACACAGTCAGGAGGACAGGAAGAGAGAGAGAGAGAGAGAGAGAGAGAGAGAGAGAGAGAAAGATCAACACCAACGTTAGGACACAGAGGGGAGGAGAAAGGAGAGAGAGAGAGAGAGAGAGAGAGAAGAGAGAAGAGGAGACGAGAGAGATCAACACCAACGTTAGGACACAGTCAGGAGGACAGGAAGACAGAGAGAGAGAGAGAGGAGAGAGAGAGAGATCAACACCAACGTTAGGACACAGTCAGGAGGACAGGAAGGAGAGAGAGAGAGAGAGAGAGATCAACACCAACGTTAGGACACAGTCAGGAGGACAGGAAGACAGAGAGGAGAGAGAGATCACACCACGTTAGACACAGCAGAGGACAGGAAGAGAGAGATCAACACCAACGTTAGGACACAGTCAGGAGGACAGGAAGACAGAGATCAACACCAACGTTAGGACACAGTCAGGAGGACAGAAAAAAATAAGAGACTAGGAGGAGGAGGGGAAAAGTAGAGCCATAGAAGGTCTGATCAATGGGCTGGTTTAATACAGGCAGAGTAGAGCCATAGAAGATCTGATCAATGGGCTGGTTTAATACAGGCAGAGTAGAGCCATAGAAGGTCTGATCAATGGGCTGGTTTAATACAGGCAGAGTAGAGCCATAGAAGGTCTGATCAATGGGCTGGTTTAATACAGGCAGAGTAGAGCCATAGAAGATCTGATCAATGGGCTGGTTTAATACAGGCAGAGTAGGTCTGATCAATGGGCTGGTTTAATACAGGCAGAGTAGAGCCATAGAAGGTCTGATCAATGGGCTGGTTTAATACAGGCAGAGTAGAGCCATAGAAGATCTGATCAATGGGCTGGTTTAATACAGGCAGAGTAGAGCCATAGAAGATCTGATCAATGGGCTGGTTTAATACAGGCAGAGTAGAGCCATAGAAGATCTGATCAATGGGCTGGTTTAATACAGGCAGAGTAGAGCCATAGAAGGTCTGATCAATGGGCTGGTTTAATACAGGCAGAGTAGAGCCATAGAAGGTCTGATCAATGGGCTGGTTTAATACAGGCAGAGTATAGTCATAGAAGCTCTGATCAATGGGCTGGTTTAATACAGGCAGAGTAGAGCCATAGAAGATCTGATCAATGGGCTGGTTTAATACAGGCAGAGTAGAGCCATAGAAGATCTGATCAATGGGCTGGTTTAATACAGGCAGAGTAGAGCCATAGAAGGTCTGATCAATGGGCTGGTTTAATACAGGCAGAGTAGAACCATAGAAGATCTGATCAATGGGCTGGTTTAATACAGGCAGAGTAGAGCCATAGAAGGTCTGATCAATGGGCTGGTTTAATACAGGCAGAGTAGAGCCATAGAAGGTCTGATCAATGGGCTGGTTTAATACAGGCAGAGTAGAGCCATAGACGGTCTGATCAATGGGCTGGTTTAATACAGGCAGAGTAGAGCCATAGAAGGTCTGATCAATGGGCTGGTTTAATACAGGCAGAGTAGAGCCATAGAAGATCTGATCAATGGGCTGGTTTAATACAGGCAGAGTAGAGCCATAGAAGGTCTGATCAATGGGCTGGTTTAATACAGGCAGAGTAGAGCCATAGAAGGTCTGATCAATGGGCTGGTTTAATACAGGCAGAGTAGAGCCATAGAAGATCTGATCAATGGGCTGGTTTAATACAGGCAGAGTAGAGCCATAGAAGGTCTGATCAATGGGCTGGTTTAATACAGGCAGAGTAGAGCCATAGAAGGTCTGATCAATGGGCTGGTTTAATACAGGCAGAGTAGAGCCATAGAAGATCTGATCAATGGGCTGGTTTAATACAGGCAGAGTAGAGCCATAGAAGGTCTGATCAATGGGCTGGTTTAATACAGGCAGAGTAGAGCCATAGAAGGTCTGATCAATGGGCTGGTTTAATACAGGCAGAGTAGAGCCATAGAAGGTCTGATCAATGGGCTGGTTTAATACAGGCAGAGTAGAGCCATAGAAGGTCTGATCAATGGGCTGGTTTAATACAGGCAGAGTAGAGCCATAGAAGGTCTGATCAATGGGCTGGTTTAATACAGACAGAGTAGAGCCATAGAAGGTCTGATCAATGGGCTGGTTTAATACAGGCAGAGTAGAGCCATAGAAGATCTGATCAATGGGCTGGTTTAATACAGGCAGAGTAGAGCCATAGAAGATCTGATCAATGGGCTGGTTTAATACAGGCAGAGTAGAGCCATAGAAGATCTGATCAATGGGCTGGTTTAATACAGGCAGAGTAGAGCCATAGAAGATCTGATCAATGGGCTGGTTTAATACAGGCAGAGTAGAGCCATAGAAGATCTGATCAATGGGCTGGTTTAATACAGGCAGAGTAGAGCCATAGAAGGTCTGATCAATGGGCTGGTTTAATACAGGCAGAGTAGAACCATAGAAGATCTGATCAATGGGCTGGTTTAATACAGGCAGAGTAGAGCCATAGAAGATCTGATCAATGGGCTGGTTTAATACAGGCAGAGTCGAGCCATAGAAGATCTGATCAATGGGCTGGTTTAATACAGGCAGAGTAGAGCCATAGAAGGTCTGATCAATGGGATGGTTTAATACAGGCAGAGTAGAGCCATAGAAGGTCTGATCAATGGGCTGGTTTAATACAGGCAGAGTAGAGCCATAGAAGGTCTGATCAATGGGCTGGTTTAATACAGGCAGAGTAGAGCCATAGAAGGTCTGATCAATGGGCTGGTTTAATACAGACAGAGTATAGCCATAGAAGGTCTGATCAATGGGCTGGTTTAATACAGGCAGAGTAGAGCCATAGAAGATCTGATCAATGGGCTGGTTTAATACAGGCAGAGTAGAGCCATAGAAGATCTGATCAATGGGCTGGTTTAATAGAGGCAGAGTAGAGCCATAGAAGATCTGATCAATGGGCTGGTTTAATACAGGCAGAGTAGAGCCATAGAAGATCTGATCAATGGGCTGGTTTAATACAGGCAGAGTAGAGCCATAGAAGATCTGATCAATGGGCTGGTTTAATACAGGCAGAGTAGAGCCATAGAAGGTCTGATCAATGGGCTGGTTTAATACAGGCAGAGTAGAACCATAGAAGATCTGATCAATGGGCTGGTTTAATACAGGCAGAGTAGAGCCATAGAAGATCTGATCAATGGGCTGGTTTAATACAGGCAGAGTAGAGCCATAGAAGGTCTGATCAATGGGATGGTTTAATACAGGCAGAGTAGAGCCATAGAAGGTCTGATCAATGGGCTGGTTTAATACAGGCAGAGTAGAGCCATAGAAGGTCTGATCAATGGGCTGGTTTAATACAGGCAGAGTAGAGCCATAGAAGGTCTGATCAATGGGCTGGTTTAATACAGACAGAGTATAGCCATAGAAGGTCTGATTAATGGGCTGGTTTAATACAGGCAGAGTAGAGCCATAAGAAGATCTGATCAATGGGTGGTTTAATAGAGGCAGAGTAGAGCCATAGAAGATCTGATCAATGGGCTGGTTTAATACAGGCAGAGTAGAGCCATAGAAGATCTGATCAATGGGCTGGTTTAATACAGGCAGAGTAGAGCCATAGAAGATCTGATCAATGGGCTGGTTTAATACAGGCAGAGTAGAGCCATAGAAGGTCTGATCAATGGGCTGGTTTAATACAGGCAGAGTAGAACCATAGAAGATCTGATCAATGGGCTGGTTTAATACAGGCAGAGTAGAGCCATAGAAGATCTGATCAATGGGCTGGTTTAATACAGGCAGAGTCGAGCCATAGAAGCTTTTTACAGAGAGAGAGGCTGCTGGATGCAGAGTCAAGGTTATACGCTGTCTCTGACTTTGTGTTGAGAGATAGGACATATAAAGGCAGCCTATTGTTGCTTTATCCAGGCCTGGGCTGATGCTCTATCCCAGCTAGCATGCTCATGTTGTTTATCCAGGCCTGGGCTGATGCTCTATCCCAGCTAGCATGCTCATGTTGTTTATCCAGGCCTGGGCTGATGCTCTATCCCAGCTAGCATGCTCATGTTGTTTATCCAGGCCTGGCCTGATGCTCTATCCCAGCTAGCATGCTCATGTTGTTTATCCAGGCCTGGCCTGATGCTCTATCCCAGCTAGCATGCTCATGTTGTTTATCCAGGCCTGATGCTCTATCCCAGCTAGCATGCTCATGTTGTTTATCCAGGCCTGGCCTGATGCCACAACAATGATTCAACCACATCAGGAGAACACTTTTGAGGTCTGGGAAAAATATAATAAGTATGTTCTTTTTGGGTGTAGATACACTTTAATTCAAGTGCAAGAAACGTGTTTGGTTAGCGGTGTTTCTGTAGCAGATGTGATTGCAGAGTTTCCAAATACAAAATGGCCACATACAGGTAGGCATCGGCTACTCTGTAGTTAACATTTAAATGAAAAGTTTTTTTGTGAAGCCTGTCCACCTCTACCAGAAGACGGTTATCATTAGCATGCTAACGGCTACACAACGTGGTAGACCATCGAGCACACAGACTGGGGCATTCCTGTGCTGTTTCAGAAAGATGTGGGAAAATACCAAATCACCGATGCATTTAGTTCATGTCTTATGATTAACTTTGTCAAATTAATTAATTTTCTAATAAGTTCAACACATTTAGTTGATTTCCTACTAAGTTCAACACATTTAGTTGATTTCCTACTAAGTTCAATACATTTTAGGATATTGTTGAATTCCGTTTGTAATGTCTGGATTCCGTGATTCCGCCCGCATGGCAGGTTTTATAGGGCCCTCCACTAGCATGTTCATATTGGTAGTCACAGCCAGTCAGCCACAGGGTACAATACCAGCACATCAAATCAGATCAGTCTGCCTTCAACAGACAGGACTGACTGCTGCCTCCCTGGAACTCTCTCCCTGATGCAACAACAGGCCCATTACGAGCAGAGAAGGAGAACCAACACCAGGTCCTCTGTGTTTAGTCCTCGGTGCCTCCCTGGATCTCTCCCCCTGATGCAACAACAGCCCCATTACGAGCAGAGAAGGAGAACCAACACCAGGTCCTCTGTGTTTAGTCCTCGGTGCCTCCCTGGATCTCTCCCCCTGATGCAACAACAGGCCCATTACGAGCAGAGAAGGAGAACCAACACCAGGTCCTCTGTTTAGTCCTCAGTGCCTCCCTGGATCTCTCTCCCTGATGCAACAACAGGCCCATTACGAGCAGAGAAGGAGAACCAACACCAGGTCCTCTGTGTTTAGTCCTCGGTGCCTCCCTGGATCTCTCCCCCTGATGCAACAACAGGCCCATTACGAGCAGAGAAGGAGAACCAACACCAGGTCCTCTGTGTTTAGTCCTCGGTGCCTCCCTGGATCTCTCCCCCTGATGCAACAACAGGCCCATTACGAGCAGAGAAGGAGAACCAACACCAGGTCCTCTGTGTTTAGTCCTCGGTGACAGTTAGTCCAGGGACTGCCATGGGCTGCTCTGTGCACAGTTACACCCAATAGAGAATCACACACACTTTTACATGTTGGTCATTTAGCAGACACTCTTATCCAGAGTGACTTACAGTTAGTGCATTCATCTTAAGACGGCTAGGTGGCACAACCACACATCACAGTAAGTACATTCTTCCTCAATAAAGTAGCGATAAGCAGAGTCGGAGCCAGTAACGGGGTGACACGCGTGCAGCTCTGCAGAGCCAGTAACGGGGTGACACGCGTGCAGCTCTGCAGAGCCAGTAACGGGGTGACACGCGTGCAGCTCTGCAGAGCCAGTAACGGGGTGACACGCGTGCAGCTCTGCAGAGCCAGTAACGGGGTGACACGCGTGCAGCTCTGCAGAGCCGTAACGGGTGCCCCCAGAGAACGGGGTGACACGCGTGTCAGCTCTGCGAGCAGTAACGGGTGGTGACACGCGTGCAGCTCTGCAGAGCCAGTAACGGGGGACAGCGGCAGTCTGCAGAGCAGAACTGGGGTGAAGGTGCAGCTCGACTCGACAGCTGCAGGGACGACGAAAGGCGGAGCGCGGAGAGAGCGAACTCAGGCCCTGCCTTCCGAAGTTCACCATGGTCTCGTAGCTACGCTCCTTGGCCTGGACAATGTACTCATCTATTTCCTGGCGACAACAACACAGAGACAGAGAGACAAGAAGAGGAGAGGAGAGAGAAAGAGAGAGGAAGAGAGAGAGGGAGAGAGAGAGGACCGAGAAAGGGAGAAGAAAGAGAGAGAAAGAGAGAGAGGAAGAAGAGGGAGAAAGGAAGAGAGAAGAGAAAAGAGAGAGGAAAGGAAAAGGAAAAGAGAAAGGACAGAGAGAAGGAGAAGAGAGAGAAGGAAGGGAAGAAGAAGAAGAGACAGAGAGAGAAGGAGCAGGAAAAAGGAGGGAGGAAGAGGGAGAGACAGAAAAAGCGACAGAGGAGAAAGAGAAGAGAAGAGAAAAGGGGAAAAGGGGGAAAAGAGACGCCAAAAGGAGAGAGAAACAGGAGGAAGAGGAAGAGAGGAGAAAGAGGGAAAGGGGGGAAAAAAGAAAGAAGAAGGAGAGAGGGGAAAGAAGGGAAGGAAGAAGGGGAAAAAAAGAGAGAAAAGGGGGAGAGGAAGGGACAGGAAGGGGGGAAGAGCCAGAAAACCAAGACACGGAAAGGAGAACCAAAGATTTACAAAGAAAAAAGAGAACAGTAGAAGGGGGAAAAAAGAAGAGAAAGAAAAACAGAGAGGGGAAGAAAGGTTTTAAAAAAAGGGAAAAAATTAAAAGAAAACCAACAAAAGGTACAAAAAAAGCAAAAAGGGAGGGGGAAAAAGAAAGGTAAAAAACCCAAAAGAAAACCCTTTCCCCCCGCCCAAAAAAAAAAAACCCCCCAAGAAAAAAATTTTTTAATTTAGGGTTTTTGGGGGGAAAAAGGGGGGGAAAAATTTTAAACCCCCGTTTAAAAAACCCAAAAAACCATTTAAAAATTTTTACCCGGGGGACCAAAAAAAAACATTTTAAAAAAGATTCCCCAAAGACCAGTCTTGTAAGGGGAACAGGAAAAAACAAAATTTTTAAAAATATTTAAAACCCGAAAAGAAGCAAAAACAAACTAAAACAACAATTTTAACCCTTTAAAACCCCGACCATAGACCCGAAACAGGGGGAACCTAAAAAAACCCTTTTCCCAATTAACCCGGGGGGCCCCCAAAAAGCCATGAAGGGGGGCCAAAGAGCAAACTGAGTAGTCATCCAATTTGGAAGACAGAGAGGATGACAAATTAAACAGAGAGGAAGTGGGGAGGGAGACAGAAGACAAGAAACAGAAGACTCATTAAGATACAACCTACAGTATGCATCAACATGTCCACCCACGACACAACACAAAAGCTAACTATCTTCTAAAGGTTTGTCATCAAATGACAACAGATCATTTTAAGTGTATGGCAGCTTGTTCAGTAGAAGGATAAAACACAGATACAGGATTCAAACATGTTCGTCTATTCCCTAGCTAGGCGTCATAATGAAACCACACTATTCAATACACAGTTAACAAAGAGCTCGGTACTCGTCAGTCAGTCTCACCCTCTCTCTGGAAGACAGCAGAGGATGAAGACATTTCCTGTAGATGAGACCAGCTCCTCTGGTGTAGGGAGACAGCAGCCAGATAACAAACGCTATCTTAATCTCATAGTACAGGGGGAACCTAGAGAGAGACAACACATTTTAACACAGTATTAACCCTGACCCATAGACCAGCTCATAGTACAGGGGGAACCTAGAGAGAGACAACACATGTTAACACAGTATTGACCCTGACCCATAGACCAGTTCATAGTAACAGGGGGAACCTAGAGAGACAACACATTTTAAACACAGTATTAACCCTGACCCATAGACCAGCTCATAGTACAGGGGAAAACCTAGAGAGACAACACATTTTACACAGTATTAACCCTGACCCTAGACCAGCTCATAGTACAGGGGAACCTAGGAGAGAGACAACACATTTTAACACAGTATTAACCCTGACCCATAGACCACTTCATAGTACAGGGGGAACCTAGAGAGAGACAACACATTTAAAACAGTTATTAACCCTGACCATAGAACCAGCTCATAGTACAGGGGGACCTAGAGAGAGACAACACATTTTAACACAGTATTAACCCTGACCCATAGACCGCTCATAGTACAGGGGAACCTAGAGAGAGACAACACATTTTTAACACAGTATTAAACCCTGACCCATAGACCAGCTCATAGTACAGGGGGAACCTAGAGAAGACAACCACATTTTAACACAGTATTAACCCTGACCCCTAGACCAGCTCATAGTACAGGGGGGAACCTAGAGAGAGACAACAACATTTTAACACAGTATAACCCTGACCCATAGACCAGCTCATAGTACAGGGGGAAACCTAGAGAGAGACAACACATTTTAACACAGTATTAACCCTGACCCATAGACCAGCTCATAGTACAGGGGGAACCTAGAGAGAGACAACACATTTTAACACAGTATTAACCCTGACCCATAGACCAGCTCATAGTACAGGGGGAACCTAGAGAGAGACAACACATTTTAACACAGTATTAACCCTGACCCATAGACCAGCTCATAGTACAGGGGGAACCTAGAGAGAGACAACACATTTTAAACAGTGATTTAAACCCTGACCCATAGACCAGCTCATAGTACGGGGGAACCTAGAGAGAGGACAACACATTTAAAAACAGTATTAACCCTACCACATAGACCAGTCCATAGTACAGGGGGAACCTATAGAGAGACAACACATTTAAACCACAGTATTAACCCGGGACCCATAGACCAGCTCATAGTACAGGGGGAACCATAGAGAGAGCCAACCACATTTTAACACAGATTAAACCCGGACCATAGACCAGCTCATAGTACCAGGGTGAACCTAGAAGATAGACAACCACATTTTAACACAGGTATTAACACGGACCCATAGACCAGCTCATAGTACAAGGGGGAACCTAGAGAGAGACAACACATTTTAACACAGTAGTTAACCCTGTACCCATATACCAGCTCATAGTACAGGGGGAACCTAGAGAGAGACACACATTTTAACACAGTATTAACCCTGACCCCATAGACCAGCTCATAGTACAGGGGGAACCTAGAGAGAGATAATGATGTTTATTTGAACAGGGACAACGTAGAACCAAACATACTGTAAGTACACTGGAGAAAATATGAATTGTACCAGATTTAGCAAACAGCTCATTTCCGTCTGAATGACAACACATTAAGGTTAGGGTTAAGGTTTAGGGTTAAGGTTTAGATTAAAGTTAGGTTTTGGGTTAAGGTTAGGGTTAAGGTTAGGGTTTAGGTAAGGGTTAGGTAAGCGTTAGCATACCGCCGTCCACCGCTATTCATTTTCTGCCAGTGAAATATACACTGCTTAAATCCTATTAATCAGCCAACATGATGCTTCTCATTAAATCTGTATAACAAATTAATTTATAAGACAATCTCAATTAAAAAGGGCAACGTAATTTCAATAAGCCTCAATTGTTTTCGGCATAGCGTGATGATCAAAGACAACATGGATAATTAAATGGGATTGGTTTGTTTGGGTTAACACATTCAAGGCCAATAAACCAAATGAAGAATTAGCATAAAGTCATGTTAATAGTTCCAATTAATGCCTCTGTCAGTCCTACTAGACACCAGACTACAGGGAGGTCTGTATTAAGTCTCACCAGGCTACAGGGAGGTCTGTATTAAGTCTCACCAGACTACAGGGAGGTCTGTATTAAGTCTCACCAGGCTACAGGGAGGTCTGTATTAAGTCTCACCAGGCTACAGGGAGGTCTGTATTAAGTCTCACCAGGCTACAGTGAGGTCTGTATTAAGTCTCACCAGACTACAGGGAGGTCTGTATAAGTCTCACCAGGCTACAGGGAGTCTGTATTAAGTCTCACCAGGGCAACAGTGAGGTCTGTATTAAGTCTCACCCAGGCTACAGGGAGGTCTGTATTAAGTCTCACCAGGCAACAGTGAGGTCTGTATTAAGTACTCACCAGGCTACAGGGAGGTCCTGCATTATGTCTCACCAGGCTACAGGGAGGTCTGTATTAAGTCTCACCAGGCTACAGGGAGGTCTGTATTAAGTCTCACCAGGCTACAGGGAGGTCTGTATTAAGTCTCACCAGGCTACAGGGAGGTCTGTATTAAGTCTCACCAGGCTACAGGGAGGTCTGTATTAAGTCCACCAGGCTACAGGGAGGTCTGTATTAAGTCTCACCAGGCTACAGGGAGGTCTGTATTAAGTCTACACCAGGCTACAGGGAGGTCTGTATTAAGTCTCACCAGGCTACAGGGAGGTCTGTATAAGTCTCACCAGGCTACAGGGAGGTCTGTATTAAGTCTCACCCGGCTACAGGGAGGTCTGTATTAAGTCTCACCAGGCTACAGGGAGGTCTGTATTAAGTCTCACCAGGCTACAGGGAGGTCTGTATTAAGTCTCACCAGGCTACAGGGAGGTCTGTATTAAGTCTCACCAGGCTACAGTGAGGTCTGTATTAAGTCTCACCAGGCTACAGTGAGGTCTTTATTAAGTCTCACCAGGCTACAGGGAGGTCTGTATTAAGTCTCCCAGACTACAGGGAGGTCTGTATTAGTCTCACCAGGCACGGAGGTCTGTATTAAGTCTCACCAGGCTACAGGGAGGTCTGTACAGGGAGGTCTGTATTAAGTCTCACCAGGCTACAGGGAGGTCTGTATTAAGTCTCACCAGGCTACAGGGAGGTCTGCATTAAATTTTACCAGAGTGTCTGTATGGTCTCATATAACAAACCAAGTATAACCTTGAACAGAAAGTGTCAACTAGCTGCATAGTAGGCATACAAAGCCTGCATAAGTCCATAAGTCCGGTAAGCATAAAGCGACAGAGATACAAAGACCTGGACATAGAGCCTAAGGGCATCTAAGTTACCAAAAGGAACAGCTGACACCCAATCCAGCGACAGAGATCCTAAACATGACAGACTGACAGACCAACAGACAGACTAGATCAACCCCAAAGACCATGACCGTAGCAGAGCAACCCATAAAGACATACAGTACAGACAACCAACTAGACCAGAACAGCGTAGACCACCAAATACCAGGACAGCATGACCCATGAACCATGACAGAGCAGATCATACCCCAAAGATACATGACAGACTGCGACACCACTAGACATGGCTGATCCAACAGCAACCCCAATCCATAAGTGCCCAGCATGATACCATTAGTACCGACAGACAGAGGCTCATACATAGATCACAGAACAGGCTCAGAGTCATACCGCCACTAAGAACAGACCTGACAGTAGCTATGCACAGAAGACCATGGCAACATATGACAGAGCATGACATTAGAGTACAGACAGACTCGAGTCATACGCATAGAGCACATGAACAGCTCTGCTACAGATCCCACTAGAACATGGCACACAGTATGCACTAGAAAGCAACCATTATACATGACCATACTAGACCAACCCATATAGATACACAGAACAGATAGAGTTTACCCCATGAAGAACCAGACCAGCAGCCAGACCATACCCTAAGTACCAGGACAGACTTCAGAGCAACCCCATAAGATACAGGAACCAGACAGACATACCAGATCAGAACCAGACCATACAGATTCCAACCCAACAGATACCAGAAAGTACAGACATACCAACAGAACCATGACAGAACAGCCAGACAGACGACCAGACAAAGACCAGACCAGACAGACCAACAACCAACCAAACCACGACAGACCAGTCAGTACCAACATACAGACCATGACAGTACCAGACCAGACCCATAGACCATGACCAGAAGACCATGACAGACCATAGACAGACCGACAGTACAGAAACCGACCATACAGACCAGCCAGAAGACCGTCAGACCATGACAGCCATGACCAGTAACTAGACCAGACAAGGACCAGACATACAAGTGCACCAGACAGCAGACACCATAGCCATACCAGTACCAGAAGCCCAAGTACCAGACACAGACATGACCAGCGACCAGAACAGACCAGACCAGACCAGACCAGACGGACCAACAGACAGACCATGACAGACCGTACCAGACAGACCAACAGGACCATACTCAGACAGACACAGACAGACAGACCAGACCAGACCAGACAGACCAGACAGACTCAGACAGACCAGACAGACCAGACAGAACCAGACAGCAGACCACGACCAGCCAGCAGACCAGAGACAGACAGACAGACAGACAGACCAGACAGACCAGACAGACCAGACCAGACAGACCAGACAGACAGACCAACAGACAGACAGACCAGACCAGACAGACAGACCAGACAGACCAGACCAGACAGACCAGACAGACCAGACCAGACAACAGACAGACCAGACAGACAGACCAACAACCCAGACAGACCAGACGACAGACCAGACCAGACAGACCAGACGACCAGACAGACCAGACAGACAGACCAGACAGACCAGACAGACAGACCAGACAGACCAGACAGACCAGACCAGACAGACCAGACAGACCAGACCAGACAGACAGACCAGACAGACCAGACAGACAGACAGACAGACAGACCAGACACCAGACAGACCAGACCGACCAGACAGACCAGACCAGGACACAGACCAGACAGACCAGACAGACCAGACAGACCAGACAGGACAGACAGACAGAACCAGACACCAGACAGACCAGAAGACAGACCAGACAGACAGACCAGACCGACCAGACAGACCAGACCAGACACAGACCAGACCAGACAGACCAGACCAGACCAGCAGACCACAGACAGACCAGACCAGACAGCAACCGACAGACAGAGACGACCAGACCAGACGACCAGACACAGACCAGACCAGACCAGACCAGACAGACCAGACAGACCAGACCAGACAGCCAACCAGACAGACCAGACAGACCACAGACAGACCAGACAGACCAGACCAGACAGACCAGACAGACCAGACCAGACAGACCAGACAGACCAGACAGACCAGACCAGACAAGACAGACCAGACAGACCAGACCAGACAGACCAGACAGACCAGACCAGACAGACCAGACAGACCAGACCAGACAGACCCAGACAGACCAGACAGACCAGACCACAGACAGACCAGACAGACCAGACCAGACCAGACCAGACCAGACCAGACAGACCAGACAGACAAGACAGACAGACCAGACCAGACACAGACCAGACAGACCAGACACGGACACCAGACAGACCAGACACGACAGACCAGACCAGACAGACCAGACAGACCAGACCAGACAGACCAGACAGACCAGACAGACAGACCAGACCAGACAGACCAGACCCAGACACAACCAGACAGACCAGACAGAACACCAGACAGACCAACAAGACCAGACAGACAGACCAAGACAGACCAGACAGACCAGACGACCAACAGAACCAGACAGCCAGACCAGACGACCAGACCATACAGACAAGACAGACCAGACAGACCAGACAGACCAGACAGACAGACCCAGACCAGCCAGACAACAACAGACCAGACCAGACAGACCGACAGACAACCAGACCAGACCACAAGACCAGACGACCAGACAGACGACCAGACCAGACAAGACCAGACCAGACAGACCAGACAGACCAGACCAGACAGACCAGACAGACCAGACCAACCAGACAGACAACAGACACAGACCAGACAGACCAGAACCAGACAGACAGACAGACCAGACACAGACCAGACAGACAACCAGACAGACCAACAGACCAGCAACCAGACCAGACAGACCAGACAGACCAAGACAGACAGACCAGACAGACCAGACAGACCAGACAGACCAACAGACCAGACAACAGACCAGACCAGACAGACCAGACAGACCAACAGACAGACCAGACAGACCAGACAGACAGACCAGACCAGACAGACCAGACCAGACAGACCAGACAGACCAGACAGACCAGACCAGACAGACCAGACAGACCAGACCAGACAGACCAACAGCAAACCAGACAGACCAGACAGGACCAACAGACAGACCAGACGACCAGACAGACAGACCAGACCAGACAGACCAGACAGACCAGACCAGACAGACCAGACCAGACAGACCAGACACACAGACCAGACCAGAACAGACCAGACAGACAGACCAGAGACAGCCACAGACCAGACAGACCAGACAGACCATACCGACCAGACAGACCACCAGACAGACAGACAGACCAGACGACCAACAGACAGACCAGAACAAAAAACCAGACCAGACCACAGACCAGACAGACAGACGACAGACCAGACAGACCAGACAACCAGACAGACCAGACAGACCAGACAGACAGACCAGACGAAGACCAGACAGACCAGAAAACCACAGACAGACCAGACAGACCAGACAGACCAGACAGACAACAGACCAGAAACCAACCAGACAGACCAGACAACCGCAGCCAGACAGACCAGACCAGACAGACCAGACCAGACCAGACAGACCAGACCAGACCAGACCAGACAGACCAGACAGACCAGACAGACCAGACAGACCAGACAGACAGACAGACCAGACAGACAGACCAGACAGACAGACAGACCAGACAGACCAGACAGACCAGACAGACAGACCAGACAGACCAAAGAAGACAACCAGACAGACACAGACAGGACCAACCAGACAGACAGACCACCCGACCAGACAGACCAGACAGACCAGACAGACCAGACAGACCAGACCAGACAGACAGACCAGACAGACCAGACAGACAGACAGACCAGACAGACCAGACAGACAGACAGGACCAGGACAGCATTACCTGAGTAGACGTGACAGGACTGTATATAGGACTGAAACACGCTCACTATGTATTGCTGAATAACTCATTTAACAAACCATAGAGTAGGTCATTAATGTGTGAGATGGAGGCATCATTACTGTCTGACTGAGGCTACACAGAGACAGGGGCTGCTCTCCCCCCTCTCTCCCTGAGCTAGGCTACGCCTTAGAGCCCATCTCCCCCCTCTCTCCCTGAGCTAGGCTACGCCTTAGAGCCCATCTCCCCCCTCTCTCCCTGAGCTAGGCTACGCCTTAGAGCCCATCTCCCCCCTCTCTCCCTGAGCTAGGCTACGCCTTAGAGCCCATCTCCCCCCTCTCTCCCTGAGCTAGGCTACGCCTTAGAGCCCATCTCCCCCTGGCTACGCCTTAGAGCCCATCTCCCCCTCTCTCCCTGAGCTAGGCTACGCCTTAGAGCCCATCTCCCCCCTCTCTCCCTGAGCTAGGCTACGCCTTAGAGCCCATCTCCCCCCTCTCTCCCTGAGCTAGGCTACGCCTTAGAGCCCAGCTCCACCAGGCTTTCAAGGGTTCCTTAGCATTTCAATCTCAAAAAGGTAGCGCAGACAGTCATGTGATGAGAGGAAGCCTTGTGTTAGGGCTCTCTGTGGCTCTCGGAGGTATTAGGTGATATTTTCAGCCTCAGTGAACCAAGTCAAATGAATGTGTGCAGCGGTGGAATGGCGACCTCCAGCTGAACTCCCAGCAGCTCCGTGCCTGTCTGAGAGTTCCGACCGAGGCTGATCAACGCTCCAGGCTAGAGACAGGCTGCGTCCCAACTCGTACCCTATTCCTTTTATTAGTGCACTACTTTTGACCAGGGCCCTAGTAGTGCACTATATAGGGAATAGGGTGCCATTTGGGATGCACCCGGAGAGACAAAGACTCAGGGGTATTGGGCCATGATGACTGGGTGTCCATCTCATCCTCCTTATAGACAGCAGACAGACAAAGAGCTGACCAGATCCCAGATACAAATATATGGAGGACATTTTACATTCCTCAGACTGTGGGAGGAAAACCTTTACTAGCAGCCAGGCCAACAAATACCTGCATTAAATTAAAACATGGCTGAGCTAAGCTGTACTGTATCAGTCTGATCCTAGCTTAAATTAAAACATGGCTGAGCTAAGCTGTACTGTATCAGTCTGATCCTAGCTTAAATTAAAACATGGCTGAGCTAAACTGTACTGTATCAGTCTGATCCTAGCTTAAATTAAAACATGGCTGAGCTAAACTGTACCAGTCTGATCCTAGCTTAAATTAAAACATGGCTGAGCTAAGCTGTACTGTATCAGTCTGATCCTAGCTTAAATTAAAACATGGCTGAGCTAAGCTGTACTGTATCAGTCTGATCCTAGCTTAAATTAAAACATGGCTGAGCTAAGCTGTACTGTATCAGTCTGATCCTAGCTTAAATTAAAACATGGCTGAGCTAAGCTGTACTGTATCAGTCTGATCCTAGCTTAAATTAAAACATGGCTGAGCTAAGCTGTACTGTATCAGTCTGATCGTATCTTAAATTAAAACATGGCTGAGCTAAGCTGTCCTGTAGCAGTCTGACCCCTTTTTGGTAGTGGTATGAGTGACTTGGCTGTGTCCCAAATGGCTCCCTATAGAATAGTGCACCACCTCATTTAAGAAGCGCTTTCTGGAGTCTCTTGAATGCATTTCCAATGTGTCCGTTCTGTCTCCTGTATGTGTAAGTCCCTGTGCAGGCGGCCTTCACCTTCATATCCTAGTAAACCACTGGATGATTGAAGAAGAATCTAGAGAACTACATGGGAAGAATTGGTAGACTGCAAATTGACCACAAAAAGACCAAACAGATATCATATTTGACAAAAACAAATCATTTCAAACCTTGCTGTTAATCTCTATTATGCATGGGAATACTTTGGAACAGATTTCCCGAAATTAAAATCACTTGGAGCTGATTTGCTGGTGTTTTACAGTCTTGTAATGTCCAAACAGACCCCCCAGTTAGGGAACCCTGCATGAAGGCGTGAGCATCTCAGTCCAGGCTACAGGCTCCCGTCCAAAGCAAGCATTCCTCAGTCTTAGACTCTGGGAGAGGAGATGCCAACAAGCCGCGGGCTCTGAGGAATGACATGTTAACTTGTTCTAACTATTATGCCTTATTTGTAACTAAAGCCTTGTTCCCACGGCAGGAATAAGGCTCAAATCTGTTTTGGAATACTGACTGTCCAAACAGCAAGTTACAAGTGACCCAATCAGATTTGTGCAGTCGTGTAGAGAAGTGGGTATACTCAAATTGCCAAACATTTTCCAAAACGACCCGCCCGGCGAAAGGGAAAGGTGCCCTGTGTGAAAAGCTATATGAGAAACAGTAACATACACTCTGAATGACCAAAAATGATGAATCCCATATTGGTCAGGGAGGTGAACCTGATGGTCACTCTGACAGAGCTCCAGAGTTTCTCTGTGGAGATGGGAGAACCTTCCAGAAGGACAACCATCTCTGCAGCACTCCACCAATCAGGCATTTATTGTAGAGTGGCCAGATGGAAGCCACTCTTCAGTAAAAGGCACATGACAGCCCGCTTGGAGTTTGCCAAAAGGCACCTAAAGACTCAGACCATGAGAAACAAGATTCTCTGGTCTGATGAAACCAAGATTGAACTCTTTGGCCTGAATGCCAAGCGTCACGTCTGGAGGAAACCTGGCACCATCCCTACGGTGAAGCATGGTGGTGGCAGCATCATGCTGTGGGGATGTTTTTTCAGCAGCAGGGACTGGGACACTAGTCAGGATCGAGGGAAAGATGAACGGAGCAAAGTACAGAGAGATTATTGATGAAAACCTGCTCCAGAACTCAGACTGGGCTGAAGGTTCACCTTCCAACAGGACAACTACCCTAAGCACACAGCCAAGACAACACAGGAGTGGCTTCTGGACAAGTCTCTGAATGTCCTTGAGTGGCCCAGCCAGAGGCCGGACTTGAACCCGATCTAACATCTCTGGAGAGACCTGAAAATAGCTGTGCAGCAACGCTCCCCATCCAACCTGACAGAGCTTGAGAGGATCTGCAGAGAAGAATGGGAGAAAATCCCCAAATACTGGTGTGCCAAGCTTGTAGCGTCATACCCAAGAAGACTCGAGGCTGTAATCGCTGCCAAAGGTGCTTCAACAAAGTACTGCGTAAAGGGTCTGAATACTTGTGTAGTTTATTTTTATTTGTATACATTTGCTAAAATTTCTAGAAACCTGTTTTTTCTTTGTCATGATGGGGTATTGTGTGTATATTGATGAGGGGAAAAAAACAATTTAATACATTTTAGAATAAGGCTGTAACCTAAATTTTTTTTGGAAAAAGTCAAGGGGTCTGAATACTTTCCGAAGGCACTGTATGTATATGTAGTGATATAGTCACTTTACATGGGCTCAGCAGGCTACTATAGTCCTATATGTAGTGATATAGTCACTTTACATGGGCTCAGCAGGCTACTATAGTCCTATATGTAGTGATATAGTCACTTTACATGGGCTCAGCAGTCTACTATAGTCCTATATGTAGTGATATAGTCACTTTACATGGGCTCAGCAGGCTACTATAGTCCTATATGTAGTGATATAGTCACTTTACATAGTCCTATATGTAGTCATATAGTCACTTTACATGGGCTCAGCAGGCTACTATAGTCCTATATGTAGTGATATAGTCACTTTACATGGGCTCAGCAGGCTACTATAGTCCTATATGTAGTGATATAGTCACTTTACACGGGCTCAGCAGGCTACTATAGTCCTATATGTAGTGATATAGTCACTTTACATGGGCTCAGCAGGCTACTATAGTCCTATATGTAGTGATATAGTCACTTTACATGGGCTCAGCAGTCTACTATAGTCCTATATGTAGTGATATAGTCACTTTACATGGGCTCAGCAGGCTACTATAGTCCTATATGTAGTGATATAGTCACTTTACATGGGCTCAGCAGGCTACTATAGTCCTATATGTAGTGATATAGTCACTTTACATGGGCTCAGCACTCTACTATAGTCCTATATGTAGTGATATAAGCAGATGTATAAAGACTTTTCATATTTACTTCAGAGCAAACAAGCAACTATAAAAAGAGCAACAACAAAGCGTGATTTGTCCAGGCTATTTTCAGGGGAGGTTTCTCAATTACCAGTCTGCCGTTCACTGTGCATTTAAAAGACAAGCGTAACCACAGTAATGACATGTTCTGAAATGGCTTGGTGGTAAAATGCTCTGTACTCAGTGTTCTACAACCAACCCAGCCAGTTAAAGTCTGACTCGAGGGTTTACTGAAATTAACTTTCAATCTGAACACTCATCATTCCAGGAAAATGGCCCAGTTACTTCCGGGAATGACAAGTCTTATGTAGGCCCTACACTCTTTACTTGTACATTTAGTATCTAGAAAGTGAAAGACTTGATGATAACAGAACATCCTAACACTGAGAGTGTGACCCTCATGGGTGAGATGGAGGAGAGAGAGGGCTGAGGAGAGCGGGAGAGTAGCAGGGTGAGATGGAGGAGGAGAGAGAGGGCTGAGGAGAGCGGGAGAGTAGCAGGGTGAGATGGAGGAGGAGAGAGAGGGCTGAGGAGAGAGGGAGAGTAGCATGGTGAGATGGAGGAGGAGAGAGAGGGCTGAGGAGAGAGGGAGAGTAGCATGGTGAGATGGAGGAGAGAGAGAGGGCTGAGGAGAGAGGGAGAGTAGCAGGGTGAGATGGAGGAGGAGAGAGAGGGCTGAGGAGAGCGGGAGAGTAGCATGGTGAGATGGAGGAGAGAGAGAGGGCTGAGGAGAGAGGGAGAGTAGCAGGGTGAGATGGAGGAGGAGAGAGAGGGCTGAGGAGAGCGGGAGAGTAGCAGGGTGAGATGGAGGAGGAGAGAGAGGGCTGAGGAGAGCGGGAGAGTAGCAGGGTGAGATGGAGGAGGAGAGAGAGGGCTGAGGAGAGCGGGAGAGTAGCATGGTGAGATGGAGGAGAGAGAGAGGGCTGAGGAGAGAGGGAGAGTAGCAGGGTGAGATGGAGGAGGAGAGAGAGGGCTGAGGAGAGCGGGAGAGTAGCATGGTGAGATGGAGGAGGAGAGAGGGCTGAGAGGAGACTGAGGATATTCTCGAAACTAATCTCTCCTAAACCTGTTGGCCACATGCTCAATTTAGCATTCCTGTAAGGCACCTGCTGGGATCATTCTAGTAAGGGCAGGAGCCCAGCCTTTACAGTGTCCTGCTGCAAGTCTCCACAGATAGATAGCGAGCATGTCACTGTGTTTGATCCAGTCATAGGCAGTTAACTCCCATTCACATGCCTGGACTTGTTCTCAATACCTTCAGACCAGACATGGAGTACCGGTAAGTGGCATGGGGTTCACCCAATGAATCATAAATACACTAGATCCCTGTGTTGAAGTCCCCATGCCCCCATCTTGGCACTCCCCCACCATTGGAAACATCTTTTGGAAGCTTTAGAAAATGCATCCGTTTATCACATGTATTCTATTGCAGACACCTTAATACACACTAGTATGATGAAATCAATGATGTGGAAATAAGGGTTTTGGTACTTACATATTCCTTGACGTTTTTGGTTTTCACTGCTTTGTAGGAATAGTATGCAGGATACAGAGTCCCGAAGACGAGCCTGTGTGGAGAGACCAGAGAAATATGAAACTATCAGCGTCAAGGCAAATGGTTTTCCACCAAGAGCACATAAAGGAGACAACTTCAGCTCAACTAAAGAAGCAACAAGCCAGCTCCACTGGACGCACCATATCACAGCCTGCAACGTGTTGCTGTGTTGAACCAGCCTCCCACATCTAGCCTAGTGGCAGGAGGATAAACTAACACTGCCTACACATGGGGGAAGCTGACCCGGTCTCACAACATATACATTTCATCCAACATGTGCTCTTCATTTACATCCTGGGACCCAAGCTTGTCTGGGAGGGGCATTGGGTTCAGTGGGGACTCCGGGAGAGAACACAACCCAGCACGTCCCAGTGAGAGGATGGGAGAGAACACAACCCAGCACGTCCCAGTGAGAGGATGACCCAGAACACAACCCAACACGTCCCAGTGAGAGGATGACCCAGAACACAACCCAACACGTCCCAGTGAGAGGATGACCCAGAACACAACCCAGCACGTCCCAGTGAGAGGATGACCCAGAACACAACCCAACACGTCCCAGTGAGAGGATGACCCAGAACACAACCCAGCGCGTCCCAGTGAGAGGATGATCCAGAACACAACCCAGCGCGTCCCAGTGAGAGGATGACCCAGAACACAACCCAGCACGTCCCAGTGAGAGGATGACCCAGAACACAACCCAGCACGTCCCAGTGAGAGGATGACCCAGAACACAACCCAGCACGTCCCAGTGAGAGGATGACCCAGAACACAACCCAGCACGTCCCAGTGAGAGGATGACCCAGAACACAACCCAGCACGTCCCAGTGAGAGGATGACCCAGAACACAACCCAGCACGTCCCAGTGAGAGGATGACCCAGAACACAACCCAGCACGTCCCAGTGAGAGGATGACCCAGAACACAACCCAGCACGTCCCAGTGAGAGGATGACCCAGAACACAACCCAGCGCGTCCCAGTGAGAGGATGACCCAGAACACAACCCAGCACGTCCCAGTGAGAGGATGACCCATACCAGAGCGCGTCCCAGTGAGAGGATGACCCATACCAGAGCGCGTCCCAGTGAGAGGATGACCCATACCAGAGCGCGTCCCAGTGAAAGGATGACCCATACCGGACGTACTACATCAGGCTACGGTTTTTATATTTTTGTTCAGTATATAGTTAACTTCTACTGGAAACAAGGCTAACATTTTAATTTGAGTCAGGATAATGACCAGGACAGATCTGGATCTAAATGTCTTGTCATTTTAACCATAAAAGATGGCTGAAAGGAACACTGCTAAATTGTGCTTTAGCAACAGATCTGTATTTCCACAGGGGAAAGAAAATCAGCCCTTTACCCTGTAGCTGAAACCAGATGTTGGAGTTGATCTCTGCCTGGATCTTAAAATCTTTCCCTCTAGCTCTCTAGCCCAGTAACTCTACATCTGGCTCTCTCCCAGGCATTGTGCATGCTAGGAGCTGTGTACAGTCAGAATTATTATTATTTTTTAACCAGGAAACTGGGAAAGTTAACCTGAAACAGAATGTCAAGGCTTGTGTGCGGGTATATTTTTTCAGCTGCGTGCTGCTAGTGAGGCCCCATTTCACCAAATTGTTTCAAGAAGCCTCTCTGCAGGCTCCGTCTCCTTCATGTTCAGGGTTTATGGAGAAATATGCCTCCTCCCCAGTGTGAAAATACTGCAGCCTGCCCGAGCGGGAAACTGTCTATTTCTGCAGGCCAGGTAAACAATGACTGGTAACGCTTTATTTGGATCGTCTGTAGAGCATCTACAGATGGACTATCATAATAATAATAATAATAATAATAATAATAAAGCCATTTAGCAGATGCTTTTGTCCAAAGCGACTTACAGTCATGCGTGCATACATTTTTTGTGTATGGGTGGTCCCGGGGATCGAACCCACTACCTTGGCGTTACAAGCGCCGTGCTCTACCAGCTGAGCTACAGAGGACCACATTCCGTAGCATTTCAACTTACTATCTATTAACCCTAACCCTAGCCTTACCATTAACCCTCCCGCTAACCCGTATTCTAAACCTAACCATAACAAGCAGTTGCTTTATCAACAGGTAGTTTGTTGATAGTATGACCATCGTTAAGCATCTACAGATGGGAAATGCAGACTATCCAAATAAAGCCTGACAGAGTGGAGCCAGGACAACAACCTCTCCTTCAACGTCAGCAAGACAAAAGGAGCTGATCGTGGACTATAGGAAACGGAGGGCCGAGCACGCCCCCCCCCCATTCACATCGACGGGGCTGTAGTGGAGCGGGTCGAGAGCGTCAAGTTCCTCGGTGTTCACATCGCTAAGAATCTATCATGGTCCAAACACACCAACACAGTCGTGAAGATGGTACCGTCAGATCCTCAAAGTTGTTCAGGCGCTACAGAGGGTAGTGCCCAGTACATCCCTGGGGCCGAGCTCCCTGCCATCCAGGACCTCTACACCAGGCATTGTTTTAACTGACCAGGTCTCCCCCTTTCCCTTCCCAGAAGACTGAGGAATACTTTCTTTTTTCACTATTCAACTATCTGCATTTACACTAACTTTGACTCATCACATACGCTGCTACTGTTTACTGTCTGTCACTTTATCCCTAGTTACACAGGAAGCGGCACAGGTCCTAATCCAGGCACTTGTCATCTCCCGTCTGGACTACTGCAACTCGCTGTTGGCTGGGCTCCCTGCCTGTGCCATTAAACCCCTACAACTTATCCAGAATGCCGCAGCCCGTCTGGTGTTCAACCTTCCCAAGTTCTCTCACGTCACCTCACTCCTCCGCACACTCCACTGGCTTCCAGTTGAGGCTCGCATCTACTACAAGACCATGGTGCTTGCCTACGGAGCTGTGAGGGGAACGGCACCTCCGTACCTTCAGGCTCTGATCAGTCTCTACACCCAAACGAGGGCATTGCGTTCATCCACCTCTGGCCTGCTGGCCCCACTACCTCTATGGAAGCACAGTTCCCGCTCAGCCCAGTCAAAGCTATTTGCTACTCTGGCACCCCAATGGTGGAACAAGCTCCCCCACGACAGCGGAGTCACTGACCACCTTCCGGAGACACTTGAAACCCTACCTCTTTAAGGAATACCTGGGATAGGATCAAGTAATCCTTCTACACCCCCCCCCCCCCCCCCCCATAAAAACGTTTTTTTTAAAGAGGTTGTCCCACTTGCTATCATAAGTTGAACACACCAACTTGTAAGTCGCTCTGGATAAGAGCGTCTGCTAAATGATGTAAATGTAGTTATATGTACATATCTACCTCATATCTACCTGGTACCCCTGCACATTGACTCAGTACTGGTACTTCCTGTATATAGCTGTCACGAGAATTTCTCTCTCTAATTAATCAAACTTAATGCTCTGAATAATTCCCAGAGGGTGTAAATTCTCTGGTTTAATCATGAATTAAACAAAGGTCCGCAACCAGCAAGAATGATCTGTATTTTTAATCATGGAGAGCTCTGCCGCCAAAATATACATACACAGCCTTTATACCCCCTGACACACAAAGGCACTTTGCTCCGCCCACCTTTAAACAGCTTCTCAGTCCCCTTCACCCTGGAATGCTTTCTCAGCAGTTTCTAACTCCTCCCCCTCTGTTAGTGTGTTGACACTACATTATAACTCTAACACCGTTCACACATTTATACTGTATTTGGGGTGAAATCCTTTAGTCATTATTCTTAAAATACAAATTAATCTATCAATAGCCATGTTATTACCTGGTACCCCTGCACATCCACTCAGTACTGGTACCTTGTATATAGCAAAGTTATCGTTTCTCATTGTGTATTTATTATTAAGTATTTTACTTATCTATTGTATCTCGATTGTCTTTCTCTCTGCGTTGTTGGGAAGGGGCCGTAAGTAAGCATTTCACTGTTAGTCTACACCGGTTGTTTACGAAGCATGTGGCAAATAAAAATAGATTTGATCAATTCCAAACAAGAAATTGCCTCAGAGTATCCTTGAGAGTATAGCTAACCTACTGCCACCTGGGGGTATGGAGTGTGATGGTCTGGTAGTGAGGTCTAAACTAAATGCACTCTGAACAGACATTTCCTTACACTACCTAATACAGTTGAATATGCTGTAGGTATCCTATTGATATCCTACCGGCAGCTTCTGTTCAAAGGGGAAAAACACTTGGTGACGTGTAAAAATATGAATGCTTATTTTGGTGAATGCTTTATAAAATTAGCTTAAAACATGGTGAACTAAGTCGTTGCCAGCATTGCTCTCCAGTAGGAAGGAATGTTAGTCTTTTCTTCCCAGTGTATATCTACTTGTATGGTGTGTCTCCTGCCTGCTGTCTGTGTTGTGGGTGGAGCTAGACACCTGCTGTCTGTGTTGTGGGTGGAGCTAGACACACTGCTGTCTGTGTTGTGGGTGGAGCTAGACACCTGCTGTCTGTGTTGTGGGTGGAGCTAGACACCTGCTGTCTGTGTTGTGGGTGGGGCTAGACACCTGCTGTCTGTGTTGTGGGTGGAGCTAGACACCTGCTGTCTGTGTTGGGGGGTGGAGCTAGACACCTGCTGTCTGTGTTGTGGTGTGGAGCTAGACACCTGCTGTCTGTGTTGTGGGGTGGAGCTAGACACCTGCTGTCTGTGTTGTGGGTGGAGCTAGACACTGCTGTCTGTGTTGTGGGTGGAGCCTAGATGCTGCTGTCTGTGTTGTGGTGGAGCTAGACACCTTCTGTCTGTGTTGTGGGTTGGAGCTAGACACCTGCTGTCTGTGTTGTGGGTGGAGCTAGACACCTGCTGTCTGTGTTGTGGGTGGAGCTAGACACCTGCTGTCTGTGTTGTGGGTGGAGCTAGACACCTGCTGTCTGTGTTGTGGGTGGGGCTAGATGCCTGCTGTCTGTGTTGTGGGTGGAGCTAGACACCTGCTGTCTGTGTTGTGGGTGGAGCTAGACACCTGCTGTCTGTGTTGTGGGTGGGGCTAGATGCCTGCTGTCTGTGTTGTGGGTGGAGCTAGATGCCTGCTGTCTGTGTTGTGGGTGGGGCTAGACACCTGCTGTCTGTGTTGTGGGTGGGGCTAGACGCCTGCTGTCTGTGTTGTGGGTGGGGCTAGATGCCTGCTGTCTGTGTTGTGGGTGGGGCTAGATGCCTGCTGTCTGTGTTGTGGGTGGAGCTAGATGCAGACCTCCATTAATACAACAAGTAGCAGTTACAGCCTTCCTTAGGTCCCTGTTGGAGGGAGGCTGGAGAAAGGAATGTCTGACTACAGCCAACCAGGACTATTCTTAGAGACCCTGTATAGCTCCTCTGCTGTTTCTATGGCAACGGCTAAATAAACGGCCTGTCATGGTGGAGGCGAGTGAGGTAGATCCCTGGACAGAGGCCATGAAACAGAAAACGAACAGGGAGAGATTTTCACCCTTATACGCTCAGTTTATTAGGTACCCCCACCAAGTACCGGGTTGGACCCCCCCTTTGCCTCCAGAACAGTGTGAATTCTTCAGGGAATCAATTTGCTCAATTTGTATCAAGGGACCGAACGTGTTCCAGGAAAACATTCCCCAGACTAATACACCACCAGCCTGTACCGTTGACACCAGGCAGTATGGGGCTATGGACTCATGCTGCTTACACCAAATCCTGACTGCCATCAGCATGGCGCAACAGGAACCGGGACTGGCCGGACCAGGCAATGTTTTTCCATTGTTGGCGATCGCGAGCCCATTGGAGCCGTTGTTGTTTTTATCTGATGGGAGATATGAAATGGAGCTCAGGTTTCAGCCCATTGGAGCCGTTGTTGTTTTTATCTGATGGGAGATATGAAATGGAGCTCAGGTTTCCATTGGAGCCGTTGTTGTTTTTATCTGATGGGAGATATGAAATGGAGCTCAGGTTTCAGCCCATTGGAGCCGTTGTTGTTTTTATCTGATGGGAGATATGAAATGGAGCTCAGGTTTCCATTGGAGCCGTTGTTGTTTTTATCTGATGGGAGATATGAAATGGAGCTCAGGTTTCAGCCCATTGGAGCCGTTGTTGTTTTTATCTGATGGGAGATATGAAATGGAGCTCAGGTTTCCATTGGAGCCGTTGTTGTTTTTATCTGATGGGAGATATGAAATGGAGCTCAGGTTTCAGCCCATTGGAGCCGTTGTTGTTTTTATCTGATGGGAGATATGAAATGGAGCTCAGGTTTCAGCCCATTGGAGCCGTTGTTGTTTTTATCTGATGGGAGATATGAAATGGAGCTCAGGTTTCAGCCCATTGGAGCCGTTGTTGTTTTTATCTGATGGGAGATATGAAATGGAGCTCAGGTTTCCATTGATTATCCTTGATGTTTCTACAAATTGATGAGTCCATCTGTGATAAATTCAACTGATTGGACATGATTTGGAAAGGCACACACCTGTCTAAAGTGCATTCGAAAGGATTCAGTGTTGTGACGCAACAAATTGTTTAGCGCATAGAATTAAAAAGGTATTGTCGGACATTATTCATTCTAATCAGACAAGTACTGGAAACAATAGAACACTATGAAAAATCTGGGAAACCAGGCCTGCTATTCATAGCAGACTTCGAAAAGGCATTTGATAAAAGAACAACTGGGGTTTATATATAAAAATGGAACATTTCAATTTGAGATTCTCTTATAAAATGGGTTAA